AAAAAAAATATAAAAATAATAATTAAATCAAAACAATCCCCTCCACCCGCCCCGCCCACGCCCGCCCGGCGGGCGCCGCCCCCCCCCCCCGCCGCCCGCCGGAGCGGAGTGATGAGAGTGAGTGAAAAGAACTGAAGATGTTAACGTCTGAATATCTAAATATCTGCAATTATCCAAATATCAAAGTATCTGAATATCTAAACATCTAGATATTATGTAAATTGCAGATATTTAGATATTCAGATGTTAAGATCTTCAGTTCTTTTCACTCACTCTCATCTCCTTGCCGGACTCGAGATGAGCCTCCTGGCTCATCGGAAAAAGAAGTGGCAAGAAACAATACAAAAAAACACAACATCAGAAAAAAAAGAAAACAATCAGGAAAAAGAAACCAAGCGTTCGTAAGCCGGTAATAAGTGATTGTCTCCATGGCATACCCCATTTTTCGGAGTAGATCAGAGACACGCGGCGCGTGCTCCTACACCTTGGCCAACAGTCACACAGAGTCACAGAGTTTGCCACATGGTCGTGTTGAGCAAGTGGTATTTCCGCGAGTTCCATGTGGGTGTGTTAGGAGATATCAACGCGCCGGTTAGCTTTTTAATAACACAATGCCACAGTAATAAGAATGCCACATGTCACCACGAATATGCCACCCTGCAAGAATAGTACCTCAACGCGCTCCATGATTAATGCCACAATAAAATGGAAACACGCCGGTTAGCCATTTGTTATATATAGTGGATCAGATGGCAAGCGAGATGTGAAATCATGTGAATGGTAGCGCACTGAATCAACACTGAGGCGTTTAGGTTTTTCAGAAGGTTTCTGGAAAACCTTAACCCAATACCTGGCTGAAATTCAAATTTTCCGTCTTTGATTATGATTTTTGAGCTGTCCTGAGCGTTTTCTCAAAGTTTCATTGAGACAGCATGAGATTTCATCGAGATATAAGGGTTTTAGTTTTGGCTGGTGACAGGCGAAAAACCGGTTTTTCACAAAAATGACTCAGGTGAAGTTATTTTCATTTCTACACAAAAACAAATGTTGCCATGATGATCAGCGTGGTCGATTACCTATGTTCCATGGCATTTTGAGATTCCATATCTGCTCGGAGATAGACATGCGCTCGGGAAAGCGAGCCCTATCCGAACGATGATAGCTGTAAACCTGGAACTTGCATAGTTTTGTAGAGTACCGTCCGGACTACTTACGCGTGTAAAAGAATTACTAACTTTGTATGTTAGTTTTCTGAGAACGGAGCTGGTTTTCCAAAGATCCTCTGGAAAGCCGAACTTCCAGAAAATTTTAAAACAAGTTTCTACCTACAAAAACATGTCTCAAGGTCTTATCAACACGATGGTGAAAAACGCAGATCTCTATTTTATTCCTATCAAAAGTTTATCATTATAAGGCTGATGCTACTTTGTCCTGATAGTTCTTTAACACAGCACCCGGCGATATTTCTGATGAATTAAATAAACCTATCTGATTTGCAATCTGCCGAGAGCTAATCTAGCATTCTGTGAATGAGGTGCTCTGGAACTAAACCGCTATCCTCTGTGCGTCAAACAGGACCGAACTGATCTTCGCTACATCCTGTAAGTCACTAACAACAAAACGATATTACACCGAGGAAACTCATAGAGACGATAATCAACCATTTGGTGCATTTCTCACTTTAGTGCATTTATTTTGAGATCTTTTAACACGGTTCACATGCTAATTGAACCTATATAGGCGAATCTCTTAGATTTTGTGCATTTTCTGACAAAGGCAACCCATTTTTTGACTTTCAAAACTGTTAGGAGAAAAACGGTTCAACTTTGTAACTAATGTCGCAAAAACGAAAGGGCTTATTTTTTTCTGCTTCCACACACTGAAATTGCTGTGTACTTACCACAATTTTTGGTTATATGTAAAAATAAATATATAAATATCTCAAACTTATATATTAAAACAAAAAATTAGAAAAAGCAGTGGATGGCTGCAATAGACTACACGATAGAGTGATCTTAACACTGCGATAACAAAACAGAAATGACTATTAAAAGAAAGTTTGTAAATACAGAATAAATAATTCGAAAAAAGTACAACAAAATCTGACAGACTTTGTAATACCTGTAAAAGATCTAGTGGCTAGTATATTAGTCAAGTACGTCATTACTTTTACACAGTAGAGCCCATCGGGTCCACGATTTTTTGGACCCGGACCCGTGCGATAAAATTTCTTTTTATATCAGAATTTGACAAACTCGTTGCTTTATTAAAAACCAAAACAAGCGCAGAATTTTTTTATCCAAATACTTAAGAAAATACGCACCCAACAGACCTTCCATATTTGTTTTGGCAAGAAATGCATTATGAGGGGATTCCACGATAATTTCGTCTGGTTTTTGTTGAGCTTTTGTAAAAGTAGTAGAAAAATGTCTTTCATCAATAGTGTATTGAAGAAGTTTATTACTTGTTTGTGGATTAAGGTGTTTTTCACAGGTCGAGAATCAGGTCGATTCTCAAGTAGCCGAAAGGATGTTTTCATACTTTGCTAATTTTAAGCATATATTTCGGGCGTATAGTTATCCGAAATCATTTACTTTCTTTCTGATATTGTTTCATCTGAAAAATTGTAACATGACAAAAATTTCGAGTAATCAACAACGTGTCGGATTACAAGTCATACCAGCATCAACGACAACAAGCATACATGAACCGTTCAGTCAGCTCTTATCGCATTTGGACCCACAGTATCAGAAATCATTCACGAATTATTCATCAAAAGCAAACGATTCACATACACAATCAACCTTAGCACGAACGAGCGATATGAATGAAAAAACTGATGGAATGTCAAGTAAGAACATATATCTAACATTTGAATATATTAAAATTCTATTTCATATAACTTGTGCAGATTTAAAATGTACAATGGCTGCTTAAACTTTATATTGTTGCACACCTATTTATAGTTTGTTTTCCTTTATCTTTTCTTTTACAAGATCTATTAATCTCTCAATTTGACAAATACCTCGATTATGATCTAAAAATACAGCAGAAAAGAACTTCAAATAATATTTCTGAGAAGAAAAGTGATCTTTTTTCTCAAAAGATGTTCCAATACCTTTTGTTTGTCTGTAAATTATAAAATCCTCGTAAAATGTTTTCCGAAAGAAAACCCAGAGCACGTCGCACGGCAAGAAAAACTCTCGTATCTTTGACATATCGTAGAGAGATCATTTCATTTTATGTAAACAAAATACATTCAACTTGACTCAAATGAAAATATGAAATTCTCAGTCTAAACAGTCAAATTTCATCAGAATAGCCTGGAATTGAATAAATTCACAAGGTGCTTCCAAAACAAAGTGTTCTTTTTATAAATAAAACAAAATCTCTTTTATTTGCTGGTCATTACAGAGATAAATGCTGTCTGTACACGCAAATGGTGTGTGCAATGAGAATACTCGTGTTCATGTTAATTTTCTCAAACACATCGATGTAACGGAAATTGACCGTTTTTGAGTTTATTCCGAATTTATTCAATTCTAGGCTATTCTGATGAAATTTGACTGTTGAAAGATATGAGAGTTTTTCTTGTAAATTCTATAAGTTTAACCATCTAGAAAGAAAGAGGGGACAACAGAACATGTTTCACGACCCAGCAGGATTTGAAACACGGACGAGATACAGAGAGAGACTGAATTTTCTCAACGTTTTCTGCAAAGATTCGGCTTCGCATTCTTCGAGTTATTACCTAAACGAGAATTTTCAGGTATTGTAAAATCGTTTATAGCTTGATTTACAAGTCTCATAAAAACAAAATTTCTTCAGACGTTTTCAATTACGATGAACCATCACTGGCTGTGAGCTGACAATGGTCATTTAGGGCTTTTCTTGTAAATTCTATAACTTTACAGAGAAAGGTCGTGTAGAGCTGGGAGGGTGGGGCATAAAGTATAAAAATCATGCTAATGAATGATTTTTACATAAAATGAAATGAAATGATCTCTCTAAGATATGTCAAAGACTTTTTTCGGAAAACATTTTACGAGGATTTTATAATTTATAGACAAACAAAAGGTATTGGAAGACCTTTTGAGAAAAAAGATCACTTTTTTTCTCAGAAATATTATTTGAAGTTCTTTTCTGCTGTATTTTTAGATCATAATGGAGGTATTTGTCAAATTGCATCAAAATTAAATACATCTCCGAAATTAGTTAAAAAAGTTATAATATGGGATTCAAGCCCTCAGTTTCCATATGCATGTTGTGCCAGAGCCAAAGCCAGTGCAGAGCAACCATATATTGATATTCATGCAACATTACAAGATGACAATTGGGTTAAAAACGAGTTCGTTTCGCTAAACGCCGTATACGTCTGAAAAATAAAAATGAAAACAATAATTCTACATCGAGTTTGAGGAAACTCTATTTAACTTTAAATTGTTAAAAAGAGCGAATAATACCGTGTGTTACGATCTTGATCTCGAATTTTCTTCTCCATTTCAGCATCTGTTAATGTTTCCAGATATGGGCAAAATTGATCTGCTTCATAATTTGTTCGCATAGCGCCAGCAACTATTGGTAATGGTGTTCCACTAGAAGTATAAGAATTTAACAAGTTGGATCAAGATTTATAAATACTATCATAGCCATCGTTATTGTACATGATACGTGAGAACAGAATCTAACCTATAAGCTAAAGTTTTTCGATGCCATGCTAATTGTCCACGAATGCTGTCATAAATTCACCTCCGAGACCTGGAATAGAAAAATGACAATGATTCATTTTGAACAGGCTTTCTGGCTCTTCTCTCTTACCTGGCTCTTCTCTCTTACCTAAGCATGTGAAGAATTTAAATTAAATAGTAACTAAATATAAATTAATCGATCATTAAAAGCTCCATCAAAATCTGCTGTTTACCAAATTCCTTCTTCGTGCAAACAAACATATGTTGGAAATACGTACTATTAAAATTTCAATGTTTATTTGATACAAA